CCAGCTTCAGCATGTGTATAGTTTCAAAAATGTATCAAAAAAGAAAGTGATTTTTTTCTTTTTTCACAGACCTCTACAGTGTGTCTATTAAAAGTTTTAAAAATTGGTTCTCAAGTAAGAACAGAAGCATAATTTTAAAAAGGCAGAAGATATTATTTATCTTGGCCTTCTCTGCACATGTCAGAAATTAAGACAGTGATGAATTACACATTACTGTACAAAATTTTATTATCAGAGTCAAAATTCAAATTTGTTCTGCTTAAAATACAGAAGATACATTTTCTCATTTAGAAAAATCCATTTTGTTAGTGTTTGGTTATAGTGGAATAAAAATTTCATGTTCAACACATACTGATTCAATTTTTACTGAATAATTTTAAAGGCATACCATAGAAAACATTAATCTGCTAAACTAACAGCAAGTTATTTGGTAAATGCTTTAGTAACTCATACTAAAAGAACAGTGACTTTTTTTATTCCTAAATCATAAAGTATTAGAAATGAAAAGTGCTTCCATTTGGCATATTTTAAATGTCTGTTCATTTGGGGAATAGCTCTACAAAAATAAACTTTTTGCTGAATAAATTCAAGATCATTAGAAGTAGTTCACATAATATTTTTAAAAGATTATCTGATGAATTCAGTAATGTATAAAAGCCAATTATGAAAGGTCAAAGGCAGAATTTCTCTTCTTGCTTCAAGTAACTGAACAGTGCATAAGCTTCATAGTTCTACTGTGTTTTAGTTTTATAGTTTTGGTCTGTTAAAAAAAATGCTATTAAAATGTAAAGGTACTAAAACAGGAAAAAAAATGGCAAGTATAATCATATGTGGCAATGTATAGGTAGCATTTAAAAAATAATGTCAGGTTACTATTGTACAGTATTTTGAAGGGTAGAAATACAACATTTACTTGAAAAATGTTTTGTACTTAACTAACAGACAATAAACCTTTTAAAAATGAAAGTGAATAGCAAAAAAAATTTAATAATGAATGTTTTCACCCAGTAGGTCATAAGTTATGTGAAGGTGGGAACAGAATAGTGATCAAGAGCAAAAGTTATATTGTGACTCTTGTAGGGGTTAAAAGGAGTGACTGAATGATGAACTTAGAAAGTAAATGCCAGCACATTCAAGGCAGATGTTCTTAACTCCACTGTAATACTTACTATAAAACATTTCACTCTTTCATTTACTTACATGACATCATAAAAATATGTGCGATTAGACCAAGCTGGCCTCTGCAGAGCTAGGTCAAAGCAGTCATCTTAAACTCTATCTGCACACAGCAGGCCAATGGAAAATGTAACTTCAAATAAGTTAAGGCACTTCAGTCCACCTATATGGTTCTAAGCAGAGCGAAATATTTCTCTAACCTTATCACTAAGTGAAAGGAAAGTCCTGGATAAACTAATAGGTCTCCTCCAGATGCAGGATAGATATTTAACCTTATTTTTGGTCCACTGGTGAAGAGCTTTGCAATCCATCCTTTCTCTTCCCTTGTTTTTTACGGTTTGTTGGCTGGACTGTCTCTTAATTACTTGTAATAGCTCAAAACCCACTACACAGCACACTAATTCAAAACACTTGGAAGAAAAGTTTCATGGGCCATATGAAGTAACCAACGAAGTCTCTGTTCCTGCCATCAGGACATGGGGACCGGAGGACTGGGGAGGCGGGGGCAGACTGGGAGGGCTGACATGCATACACGTCAGCACCGTCGGTCGCTCCGTCTGTCTGACTCTCTGTGACGCTGTGGGCTGTAGCCCACCAGGCTCCTCTGTTCCTGGGATTCTCCAGGCAGGAATACTGGAGTGGGTCTCCATGCCCTCCTCTGGGGATCTTCCTGACCCAGGGATCAAACCCTCCTCTCTTTAGGTCCCCTGCATTGGTCCATGGATTCATTACCACTAGCGCCACCTAGGATGTATAAAATAGCTAGTGGGAATCACCTAGGTGGTCTGTGATGACCTAGACGGTGGGATGCGGTGGGGTGGTGGCCCCAAGGAGAAGGGATACATGTATACATGTAACTGATTCGCTTCATTATATAGCAGAGACTAACACAACATTGTAGAGCAATGACACTTCAATTTCAAAACAAAAAAAAGAAAAGAAAGAAAGGAGTGGTAAGCCAAAATGCACTAATTAACATTTTTCTCAAATTAGCTAATGACAATGAAAAAGTAAGCTAGGTATCTATTCAAATCTTCTACATAGACTGGTCCGTATGGATAATCATTATGTTTCCAGGTTTGTACGAGGCAGATTAATGACTGATTTAAGCCATGTAAGACTTGGGTTTGCAGGTTTTTTAGTTCTCACCAAAAACCTACCACCAGTTACACAAACTCATCACAACTCTTAGCCTCTGTCTCCTCACTGTTGACTAGAACCAATGGTATGTCACAGGGTTGTTAAATGAGATGAAATCTACACAATTCCCAGCACTTAAGAGAACACTCAAATTTTCATACTTTCCTGATATCCTAACTCCTTTAACACTTATACAGAACAAAAAATTAATTCTAGTTAAAATGAACAGCTGGTCATTATTTTTTATTTTTTCTTAGTGGATTGGTACATGAACTGGGAATGTACAAAAGGTAAACATCTCCAGTGTACTACCCTTAATGTGCTAAATATTCAAAATAAAATCCCTTAAAGTGCTATTTTTTCAAAATCTGGGTAAAATTAATACTGCCTTTTGGTAGGGCTATTTGTGAAAAACCTATTTTAAAAATAAAATGCATAGACAGTACATGTAAAATAGAACATATATTTTCACCAACTGCTTATTTTTAATATTTAAGACAGAATTTTTCTAAGTAAAATAAAATTGAAAATAAAAGCTACTAGACTATACTTTTGTTAGATTTTTTAAATATAAACAATACATGTTAAAATATTTTAATAAAACAGCAACCTTATTCATTCAAAGCAATTAAACTGAAAGTTATTTTTATGTAATTAAATTTTGGAATTCCAGGATATGTGGCAGGAACATTTTCATACTCAAAAGTTCACATATACTAATTGAACAAATACATTATTATTAAGTATAATAATGGTTGAATCTGTTTTTAAAAACATATGATTAACTNAGATAGCCAAAGGGAATTTGCTGTGTGGCTCAGGAAACTCAAACAGGGGCCCTGTGTCAACCTAGGGGGTGGGATGGGGAGGGAGATGGGAGGGAGATTCAACAGGGAGGGGATATATGTATACCTATGGCTGATTCATGTTGAGGTTTGACAGAAAACAACAAAATTCTGTAAAGCAATTGTCCCTCAATAAAAAAATATATTAAAAGGAAAAAAATTCCAATAGACTTGAATTAAGTATATTATCAGAAACTCTGTTTGGAATTCTTGACTATATCTAATGTGGTACTATATTACTTTCACTGATTTAAATGGACATCATTTTACCTGTGGTCTGACCATCTGTTACTACAAAGTTTATCAGAGAACTCTTTGTGGAAAATAAATTGTCAATATTTTAATGTCATTTTAAAATAATGTTCACCAAAATATTTTGAAAAGTATTATCAATGAGCCTTTTTTTCCCATGATTTGGCTATTTACACTGACTAAAAGTGAAAGCTGATTAACACTTTTTTCAGTTGTTTGACATTATACAAACTAGAAACACAGACTTTAAAAAATAATATAATAATTGTGAAAAGATTGTTAGATGTTTAGTCCTATTCAACTCTTTGTGAACTCATGGAGTGTTAGCCCAATAAGCTCCCCTCCATGGAATTCTCCAAGCAAGAATACTGGAGTGGGTAGCCATTCCCTTCCCCAAGGGATCTTCGAGACCCGGATTCAAGCCCAAATCTTCCGAATTGCAGTTAGATTTTTTACCATCTGAGCCAGAAGAGGAGCCCCAATAATAATTGTAGACATTTGTAATCTTGTATTTTAATATGGCTTCTGATATTTGGAAAATCTCCAATTAATGCAACTGACAGATGTTTCAAACATGCCTTTACAGTTTAGTTGTAGGAAGGCTTTCTTGAAAGTCTAAAGTTATTGTTAACTGTTCTGCAAATGACAATTATATAATTTTTAAACAGTTCATGTTGCTACTCTGAGCCTGTGTTTTGATCAGACTATTATGGCTAATATAATTATTATGTTTTTGAAAAGAGTCAAATGAACCAGTATATTGCATTGAAAATGAAGTGCAATTTATCATGCATGCATGTGTGCTCAGTTGTGTAAAAGTCTTTGCAACCCCGTTTACTGTAGCCCACCAAGCTCCTCTGTCCATGGGATTTTCCAGGTAAGAATGTTGGAGTGGGTTGCCATTTCTGCCTCCAGGGGATCTTCCCAACCCAGGGATCAAACCTGTGTCTCTTGTGCCTCCTGCATTGGCAAGGAGATTCTTTACTAGTGCCACCTAGGAAGCCCCCAGTTATAAAATAGGGTATAATCTTAATAACCTTGTAAGTTTTACTGTTATATTTGTAAATTGCACTATCACAGAAATCTCAGTCATATGATATAATTTTCTAGAAATGATGCAAACCAAAGTGAGTTTAAAGTCCAGGTAAAATCCATGTTATTGAAACTGAAGAATCAACTTAATATTGTAGATAATAGCCTTAGAGGTTGTGCTTGTATGTGTAAAAAAAATACAACAATTGTAAGAACATTTTAAGGGTAAAGGTGTAAAAATGGGGAAAACTTTTTATTTACAGGTTACCTAGAGACATTTAATACTTAAGATGGTAAACTTTTAGTCCTTTCTAATTTCAACCAAGTTTTACTGTCATACATATATTGGCACAGTAAAGTTTTAAGCCTACATGTTGAACTCTTTTAACAATTTGCTATTTCATGTATATATATGTATATATATATATATATGTGTGTGTATATATATGTATATATATATATATATGTGTGTGTATATATATATGATTTGTAAGACAGACAACAGAGAGAAAAAAGATAAAAACTCTATGTAGAAAATAGAATTTTATGACTACATTTTACAGAATATTCCAAGAGATATCATTGGTCATTTTATTATTTTGAAAATATTACTCATTTAAACAACTAAAAAAGGTTAAAGCTTCATATAATCTTCAACACTGGAAAGGATAAATTATTGAAAAATATGTAGAACAAAAATTCCATCTCAATGCCATTGATATCACTATACTGTTGAACAAGTATGAGGTATTGAACATTGCACATAATTATACACTTAAGATTTGACATTGTAGCTAAACCATTTGTTCAAGGCCACTAAAATACTGAAAGAGGATAAAAATTATTAACAGTGCAGAGGAAAACAGAACTATAAAACCCCTTGTAACTCAAAGCTGGAAAGGGTGATTTCACTCAAAAGAATGGCACAACTACCAAGAATTTTCAGTAATTCACAACACAAAACAAGACAGCCACCTCTAATTTTTTATCTTTTCTATCAAAATGAATCCAGTGGTGATATAGTACATATTTTGAGCCTGCATGACAGTGATATTTATAATTGTTATGTTTCAGAACTTACCCCTTAAAGATTTCACATACATGTGATATGTACTAGTTAAATTTCATCACTTCAGATAGATGGGATGACTTTTAGATTTTATATTAAGCAATAGTATGTCTTATTAACAACACATAGAGTATTTAAAATTCATATATCAATTGAAGTGCTGAAAAAAATAGATATGAGTAATAGCAATTAATTGCTAAAAAGATAAATTTCAACTTTAGATGATACTTGTTCTATGGATTAGGAAATTGTTCCTTTTTACTACAAACTTATAATAAATGTATGGCTCCGGTTTCTAAAATGCCTACTTTCCTCTCCCCAGTGTTCAGTGACTATTGGAGCTAGAAAATATTTCCTTCAATGATTTGCAAGAAGATCTGGAGAAGTGGAAAAACCTCAGGAAAACATAAAGTGGTCCACAAACATTTGGCTTATATGCGATTAGTTGTATTGGCATTTCATAATGGTAAACTTAAAATATGTTCATTTTTGAGCATCTAAGCAGTGCTTGGAGAGCTGGCCTACTGGGTGAGAGTGCATTTAAAAACACTTGTGTTACATAATACACAATCGGGAAAAGACTATTCAAAACTCCCAGTTAGAACAGAGTCGTCAATGCCAAAGGACGAGCTTTGCTCAAGAAAAGAAACTTTTCATCATAATGGATGGAACAACTGGCATCAAAGATCATTAAAATCCACCTGAAGTAGGGTTGCTTGATGGGGGATTAGATTCACACAGACCCAAAGATCAATACACGGAGAGAGTGTTTCACTCTCTGGACCCACCCAACGTGAAAAAAGTGGGAAAACAAACAAGATGACAGAGAAACACTTTCTCAGCACTGATAATCATTAAGTGTGCACAACTACTTATCCATAAGGAAGTTTGCCTAAAGTGATGACAGAATCTATATTTATGAGATGAGGCTGCCACTTAGGAAAATTAGAAGAGTGTCTGTACATAAAATATTTTTTAGTTCATTTTTATATAGTAGAATAGACTATTCAGGAAATAGATGAAAAAAATCTGTAACAGGTGAGAAATTTATCAGGACATTGTCAGGAAGGATAGTACTGAGATAAATTCTTTGAAGCATTTTCAAAGTTTGCATAAGTTTATAAAAAGAGATAAATTTTCTTTGAGGTGAAGTTTTTGCACAAGTGCAGTGTATAGCATACTATATACATATTGGGCTTCCCTATGCACATATACATATGCACACAGTATCTATATGCCTTTTTAAAAACATATACACAGCTTTAACTCAAAGAAAATGAGTTAGTAACACAATAATCATTGCAAGACAATCAAGTGCTGAAATACATGACACCAATCAAAGGGTGATTTCACCTCTCACATTGCCCAGGACTACGACGATAACTCCCTGTTCTAGTTTTTCTTTTGTTGCAACACTGATTGTCATAGATAATCTTTGTGCTTTTGTATAATGCCCATCCCAGATGTAACACAGATTCACATACAACATTGGACATTTTAAATAAGCATGCTGGAACACAGGCAGGACCATACAACCATGCACATTTTCTGAATATGTTTTCCGTACTGACTGCAACGTCAACATGCACCACTGTCACATTTGGTCCTGTACGGCGAGGAATGTACAGCAGAAGCAGTCATGGCTAGATCCACTTGCAAGAGTTTCTTAAGAGAACACCCAGTAGAGAAACAAAACAGAATGAATAAAACAAAAAAAATTTCCTAAAATTAAAAAAAAAAATTTCCTCCCACATGTTAACACTGAAAATCTGGCCACATTCCTCACTCCAAAGCAGGTCTTCTCACAAAATTCTGAGTTGAACTGTTTATAAGAGACACATATTAATGTCTCAGAGCTTTTCCTAACCACTGGAAAAGCTCATCCTGATAAAGCATTTTCCAGCGTACATTGGCTTCAACAGTTTCCACAGCTCTTGAGAAAGAGGCAGCAGCTACTCCGTCATAGCTCTTTATGAAGTTCTTTAGCTGGAAACAGAAATGTTAGAATGGTAAACAGACACCATAAGTTATATGGTCAGTAATACTCTAATAACTTCGTATGGGGGCAGATGGTTACTACACTTATCATGGTGATTGTTTCATAATGTATGCAAATGTCAAATATATACAGGTATATACAGTACACCTGAAAATAATACAATATTTTACTATGTTTCAATAAAAAATAAAATGTAAAAATGACAAATTCATGTCTTAAAATGAGCCCATGTCCAACACATATAAACAAGAATCTATTTGAAAAATAGTGTCACAGTCACTACACAATGTGTATTTAATATGTGGAGTGAGCTAAGTAGGTATATCTAATATGCGGAATGAGCTTAGTAATGAAATGCAATGAAACAGATTTTGTCCATTAGGTGTAATGTAATTTCTTTTGGAACTGAAAGGGAAAAAGAAAAAAGAATGACATAACAGTTGAAAGTGTAATTGCTCAGCTGTGTCGGATTCTTTGTGACCTCAGTGACTGTAGCCCACCAGGCTCCTCTGTCCATGGGATTCTCCAGGCAAGAATACTGGAGTGGGTTGCCATTCCCTTCTCCAGGGATCTTCCTCATGCAGGGACTGAACCTGGGTCTCCCGTGTTGCAGGTAGATTACCATCTGAGCCACCAGGGAAGCCTAAATAACTCCAAGTTTAGCTTCTTGTTTCATAAATATTGAATTCATCTTTCATAGTGGGCTGATGAGGTAGTGGCAGAGGCTAGTTCTAATAACAAAGCATATCTAATGTACTAGTAGTAGTGTTAGTCATTCAGTCATGTCCGACTCTTTACGATCCCATGGACCATAACCTGCCAGGCTCCTCTGCTCGTGGAATTCTCCAGGCAAGAATACTGGACTGGGTTGCCATTCCCTTTTCCATGCGATCCTCCCAACCCAGGGATCGAACCCGGTCTCCTGTTGCAGGAAGATCCTTTACCTCTGAGTCACCAGGGAAGTCCCCATGTGCTCTGGGTTGGGCTTATTGACAGAGAACATTCAGCCCAGCAACCTACTTATTATTGGAAAGTTTTCTCCATCTTGTAGCCACCACACTTCATAGCGGCTACATTCTGGAGTTTCTATCTCCTACTCTTTCTCAAGGGCATTCCCTCTGCTCCACCTCAGCTGCCCCAGTCGTGTTCAGAAACCCATCAGCTCTGTCAGGGGAAGCGCCAGCTCTGTCGGAGATGAATACAGTGGGCTATCTGTTACCTGATGTCTGCAACCCCTCCCTTATTCTTTCTGGTCTATTTTTTATATTGTCAATATACATAATTGGAGTGGACTGCCGTTCCCTTCTCCAGGGGGTCCTCCCAACCCAAGGATTGAATCTGGTCTCCTGCATTGCAGGCAGATTCTTCACGGTCTGAGCCACCAGGTAAGCCTGGTGACTATGTGTTATCTAATGTACTAAGCAGCCTTAAGTTGAATACATGCATTAAAGTTAACTTTTTGTCCACAGGGAGAAAATCATTCATCTTCTCTAATAAGTAGTATGAGTGTTTGACACTATCTTTGCTGGCAAAAGTATACCAAAATTATTGAGTAACGGAAAAAAAATGATGCTATGAGTACTGGATGATTAATGACACTGGATCACCTGAGTAACTAGTTTTAGAAAGAATGAAGAAGGAATGTTGATTCATTTAGCTAGAGAATTTGGGCTTTAATTAGAATGTTAAAATTTTAAAATGACTTGTCATAATTTTATGGGTATAAGATTTTCTCTAGAGAGTGCACACACTTTAGGGATGCACAGGGATTTTATTTCAAGATTAGATACTAGTAGTTTTTCTCTCTGTTTCATATGTCTTAATAAAGTGGCAACCACCAATGAATGCAAGGTTAATAGACAAATGTGAAAAATCAACTTGTAACACAGAAGCGTTTATATTGTATAATTAGGATAAGGTGAGATTCATCACATGATGGGTGCCACATGGAGAATATACCAGGAGAGAAATGCCATCAAGATTGACTCGGGGATAGAAGGATGTGTCTGTTGGGGGGGGGGGGTCATTTAAAATGGAGTTATTAATAATTATACCTTTCTGAATTAATCTAGAAATTGGTTCAGGGGTAGCTTGGTTTGTTTATGACAATGATTATATGATACATTTTTTTTCAAAGTTTATCCTCTACTTTCCTATAAAGCCAGGTACCTTGCAGCATCAGAAATGAATTATCATATCTCAGAGCTATATTCTCTGTAAGACTTGAAAATCACTATCTTTTAATAACAAACATGAAAAATATTCAATGTGTAACAAAGATTTATTGTTGCTGTCCTTAAAACTTATCTGACATCTGACACATACAAAAGAAAGAGGATGAAGGGAAAGGACTGAAATTGATTGATACCTTCAATATATACCTGTGACATGTACACATAGATAAAAAGAAGTCTAATGACAGTATTTGAATCATATTTTTAAACTTAACTAATTTATCTAATAATTCATTTGAATTTATATATTTACGTTCAGATTCATTCAGTCCATATTCCTAAAGCAACAAATAGTACATTTTGATGTATGCTTTGAATTTTGTGTTTTATTACAAAATATGCACATTACAGTGTATTTTATATCTGTTCATTATGGTGGCTTTATTTACATAATATGTCAATCAGGAAAAATATTACATCTACTTCTTTAAACTATGTTCCACATTATTACATATTTTCCTAGGCAGTCAATGAATACTCCAGATAGTAATAAATGACCTTTTGGCAACTCTGACTCTGGGGAGTAAGCTCTTGGCCTTTTGATAAGATAGTAAGCCAGCCTGAATACATGAAGGAAAACTCTTGTCTATCTCAAAGGCAAACTGTGGGGTTGACTATGAATGTGTTATTGACATAAACACAGTAGGTCAGATTATCCTGCAAGACAATTCTTAGTAGAAAATGTAACTGGAGTGTCTCTAGAGATTCATTTCTTAAGTCACTATTTAGGTGCTCTAAATACTTCCTCTGTGAGCTCGGAGAGCATGATGTGACTGATATGTAGATTAGCTGACTCATCAGAACACAGATGGCCCCTTTGCATAGTTGGCATAAACTGATCTCATGCCTCACACTCCTCCCCAGCTCTTCTGGTGAACATGTGGTCAAAGCAGCCACGTGACAGGTCCTCAGGCGGGATCATAGCACCTTCCAGACCCTGCCTCACTGTCAAGGGCATGGGGTAGATGCAAGGCATTTGGCATTCCATTTTGCTTATTTTGGCAGTTCTTCAGTAGATGTTCTGCTGCTATTAGTTTTTATCATTGCACTTTCTAAATATTTATGCCATCGTATACTTTTATTTGAAAATGTTCCAAGTTTAGACATTTCTATAAAACAACATTTAGTAAGATGTCAGGGTTGTTTGTGTTTCCTGTTCTTCTTTGCATAAAACTTCTAGACTTGTTTGTTAATTTGTCTATTTAAAAACATTTCAGTATTTGAAAAAATTCTTAACTTAGGGTACACCAGACCCTAAAACTCACAAAATAATTTGTAATGTGCAACACATAATATACTCTTAGTAACTAACTGAGTCGAATTAGCTATTGCCTGTTTATGAGGTTTATATTTTCAACATTAAAACTGTAAACGTGATGCCCATGATACACAGGAGCTGTGTTCTTTCACAACAATGTTGTGTATAAGGCAAAACAAACAGACAAACAAAAAACAAAGAGTGCTGGAGAGGATGGCTGAATGAACATCAGTATGAAAAACGGCAAGGGCCTCTGAGAGTCGATGAGGTTGTACTTCCATTAGTTTAAAATTAAGGAAATGATGTACTGTTTCATGGGGAAATAGTGTTCAAATTGCTAAAGCCATGAAATTAAAAAGAAATGGCCAGCTTCAGGTTCTAGAATGGCATTTTGGGGAAGGACCACAGAACAGTGTAAGTGTCTTCTTATTTATGAAAGGTGGTTATCAGCAATATAAATTATCGCCCCTGCCACCCAACAGCAGGGGTCTTACAGTCAATGATTAGATAATAAAAGTGTGGAAAAGCCTCAGGCTGCAGTTGGCAAACTAGAAAGTCAGTGCAAGTAGCTGTGTCCTGAAGGGAGTCATCTCTCAGGTCTGGAGAGCTTGTGTTGTGAAGTTAGCTGCTTTGCAGATAATGGAATAAAAGCCACAGTTGAGTTTCAGTTTCCAGATGACACATTTTATTACAGGGGTATCTTGGAACATTTCACAAGGCAATTAAATCAAGTGTAAAAAATTAAATATGTAAGTGAAATATGGAAAGCAAAATGGCCATCATATGATACAATTAATTTAAATGTCCGTTTAAAACATGCTTTTCCATGGGTTGGGCTTCCTCTCACCAAAGCAAGAGGAAATGAAAGTGTCCGAGAACAGAAGAGGGAGGGAGAACAGGAGAGACACAAGGGAAGAGGAAGCCAGGGGAGGAAAGGGAGCCAAAATGAAGATGGGAGAAGGGGGGAGAGGAGAGAGTTTTCACTTCTGTGTTCAGTGGCTGCACAAGTTGTCACTAACTGGGTCTTTCATTCCCAGATTATTGAATGCAAAATCAAAGAATTAAAACTACTTCATTTAAATACACAAAGCCATTAGCTTAACTGTTCTTTCTTTCTGCTTCCTTTGGACATGAAAGAATTTCTTCTCTTTTAGGTTCCTAATAAAAAATATAGCAAAACATGTACTGGGGCTTTCAAATCCAAATCTTTCAGGGCTGGGAACACACAAAGCAGGGATAAAAATAGAATTTCAAGTTATTACAATCAGAGACTTAGCTTAGCTCATGGTGTGAAAGAATCCAAGTTGGTGCAGGGAAGATGATCATACAAAATTGGGCAATATTAGGAGATATTAAGGATAGAGGAAGGCTGATGCTTCTGGGGGAACCTTGCTCAATGGGATTAGCCTGAGTCATAGCATCAGGCTTTCTGTCAGTGAAAACTAAAGAAACCGTGATTCTCAATTGTACACCTCAGCTATATTTTATAATTATAGGGTGAGGAGAGGCTAAAAAGCGATAAATGTTTGAAGTCCAATTCATTTTAATCAGTGAAATATTTTACTCCTTCCTCCTACCTAGTTACCCACCTCCAATCTCACATCCCTTTCTATTAGAGATGTGTATTAATGGTCACAAAGCCAGCTGGTTTAAATTCCAGAGATGTAAACCAGAGAAAAAAGAAAATGTTAGATATTCTGCAAACTGGACTTTAGTCCTTAAAAAAAATAAGTTCAGTTTCATTAATGAAATTCACTTGTGACAGTATCTGGCATAATTTTAAACAAACTATTAATATATGTTGTCAGATATAGTTACTTCCAAACATATGAATTTATTCCATTTAACAAAACAGATAGCAGGAAGCATTATTATCTTATCCAATTATCATTCTTTGTATAGACCTGGCCATAAAGCAATGAGACTCAAGGTCTGTACCTCAACAGCAATCTTAGTCCTGCAGATCCGAATGCTGAGTCTTTGTGACAGGATAGTTTTAATGTTCCAAGGATCCTAACCCGGGCTCACAGAGTCAAATGTGGAGCAGCTGATTGGGAAGATTTCTAGAATATATTTGGAGCCTCCTATTTTGAGAATCACTGGGGCTTCCCCAGTGGACAGTGGAAAAGAATCTGCCTGCAATTCAGGAGACCCAGTTTTGATCCTTGCAGGGAAGATCCCCTGGAGAAGGAAATGGCAACCCACTCCAGTATGCTTGCCTGGGAAATCCCATGGACACAGGATCCTGGTGGGTTATAGTCCATGGGTCGCAAAGAGTCGATCATGACTTAGTGACTATACAACAACAAACAACATTTTGAGAATCATTACATTCAAGCACCTTTCACAGGCTTAATATTTAATGTTTAATATGTTAGAAACATTTTTGCAAATAATGACTGAAGTAAAGTCTTCAGCATGAATGTGTGTATGTGTGCGTGTGTGTGTGTGTGTGTGTGTGTGTGTGTGTGTGTACTTTAAAGGAATGAGTATGAATTTATTGGAAAGAAATGGTTGAAGTCTATCTATAATTTCATAAGTTTACAAAAGAAAAATATTACACTCATCTTAAAATATTTACCTCTTTCAGTTCACCTTCAGTATTAAGAAATTCTGTAACACCACTGATAAGTTTGGAATTCATAAATAATGCTTCTCCATACCTTGAAAGATTAAAAAAAAGTCAATGTTAAAACAGGCAATAATTTAGGAAATACTACTACATAGATATTTTAGAATCCTTCTCATGAGCTCCATTCCATCTCTTAATGCTATTCAAGGCCATTTCCCTAGGGAGTGGAGAGGTGCAAAGAGCTGTGGCTATGGGATGTCATCAAGTGCATCCTGATTTGGCTCACAGTGTTTCAAAGAGATCTACATTATAATAAATTTTTAAAAAGGGAGTCCTATGATATTATAATTAGGAATTACTATTATATTTACAATATGAGGCCTGAAGAAAAGGTATTTTAAAACTTTTAATTTTAAAGCAAACTGGGTCACTGTAAATAAGAAGGATTCCACCAAAGAAGGATTCCACGACTGCAGAACCAACTTTTGGAATTATCCATAAGTCACAGAGATCCTTTGGTCTGGTCAATCAAAACTGATGTTGGAAGTATTTTCTATTTCATTCCTAGAAACTAAGCCAAATTTCTTTAAAATGCTCCCAAAAGATTAGCAATTTTTCATATGAGCATTAAAATAAAACACTGAATTTTTCCTTTGAATTTTACAATCTTTGTACCACAAGCCTAATTATTTGACTTGCGACCTAAGGTAAGAATACTACGTATCAGCAAGTTGAAAAGATTTCTCCTTTTACTAATTTGTGCCTACTGTGCTAAGGGTACCTATCACAGGATATCATACTCTTTGAAAAAAAAAAAAACAAAACAGTACACTAGGCTAAACTGGAGGCAGGATCAAGATGGATGAGTAGAAAGACCCTGAGTTCATCTTCTCCTATGAACATGCCCAAAATACAACTACATAAAGAACCTAAGAATGACTTACTGTCTATTCATTTATGATAAAAAAACCCTAAACAAATTAGTGAGAATGCACATAAACATAATAAAGGTCATATATGGCAAACCCACATTTAATATCATATTGAACGGTGACAAATCAAAGTATTTCCTCTAAGATTGGGAACAAGACAAGAATGACCATTCTCACAACTTTTATTCAACATAGTGTTGGAAGTTCTGGCCAGAGCAAACAGATAAGAAGCATAAATAAAAGGAATCCAAACTGGAAAGGCAGAAGTAAAAGTTTCACTGCTTGCAGATGACATTATACTATATGGAAAACCCTAAAAACTACACACACACACACACACACACACACACAAAATTATTAGACTATATGAATTCAGTAAAATAGAAGGATATAAAATTAATAACAGAAATCAGTTGCATTTCTATACACTAATACTGAACTATCATAAAGACAAGTTGAAAATTTTTTAAAAAGTAAACTAAAGATAAGATTATGAATTTTTAAAAGCAGAAGTCCAGCCATCATTACAAGAGGCTTTCTAATGCTGCCCTTATCTGTAGGAATTTAAGTAATTTAGTTTCTGGAGCCTTAGTTTTCTCATCTGTAAAATGAGGGGTAGGGGGTGCTTATATTGGCAAATGATATCACAGACAAGGGCTTAACCTCTAAAATACATAAGCAACTCAGCAATAAAAAAGACAAAAAACCTAATTGAAAAATGTGCAGAAGATCATAATAGACATTTCTCCACTTTATGCTGGTCAGAATGGTCATCATTAAAAAGTCTACAAATAACAAATACTAGAGAGGGTGTTAGTTGCTCATTTGTGCCCGACTCTTTGCGACCCAAAGGACTGTACCGGCCAGGCTCCTCTGTCCACGGAATTCTCTAGGTAAGAATTCTGGAGTGGGTAGCCGTTTCCTCCACCAAGGGATCTTCTCGACCCAGGGATCAAACCCAGGTCTCCCACATTGCAGGCAGATTCTTTACCATCTGAGCCAGCAGGGAAGCTTCCCAGGTGGCACCAGTGGTAAAAAGAAACCCTCACCTCCCCAGTGTAGGAGACATAAGAGATGCAGGTTCAATCCCTGGGTCGGAAAGATCTGGAGAAGGGCATGGTAACCCACTCCAGTATTCTTGCCTGGAGAATCCCATGGTTAGAGGAGTCTAGCAGGTTATGGTCCATAGGGTTGCAAAGAATTGGACATGACTGAAGTGACTTAGCATGCACCTATGCAGAGAAGGTATGGAGAAAAGGGAATCCTGCTACACTATTTGTGGGAATTGTTATAGTCACTATGGAAAACAGTATGGAGGTTACTCAGAAAACTAAAAAGAGAATTACCGTATGACCCAGCAATCCCATTCCTGGTAATATACCCCCCCCAAAAAATTATAATTAAAAAAGATATCTGTACCCCTATTTCAATAGCAGCAGTATTCACAAGAGCCAAAACATGGAAACAACCTACATGTCCTTTGACAGATAAATGGATAAAGATGTACATGTATACAGTGGAATACTACCTGGCCTAAAAAGGGAGGCTAAACCATATGACCATCATAAATTGCTATAATTCTAACATTGAATTGGGAAATGATTCAGTTCTAACATTGAATCCATGGGAAAAGTTGGCTAAATAAAATAAAATAGGCATTCAATAATAAAATAAGTATTCATTAGTAATCAATATGTGGTTACAAAAATAGCCAACTGTACAGGAAAGGGGACAATTCCTCTTCAAAGAGTCTTTTGCTTATACTTGTAGTCATGTGGAAAAAAAAAAAAAACAGTCAGTCCTTTCCTTGATGGTTATATACTATGCAGTACTGTAAACAGATCACTCCCAGTTATTATGGTTAAACAAGATGAAAATAAAATTATATACTGTTCAGAGTTCTCTTTAGCTGTGAGGTCTCCAGAAAGGCTTCCAGGAGATGATGACAGATGGATTGAATATGGAGTAATTTCAAATATCAAGGAAGAAAGCAATTTTAGGCAGAGAACCAACATACACAAAGGCAAGGAGGTGTGAAACAACATGATGTGTGCCAACAATGACACGCATTTGGTCCTGAGGGTATAAACTGTGAGACTGAGGATAGCAGAGTAAGAGGTAGAAGGGTTAGTAAGACAGGAGTTTAGATATTCAACATGGCACAGAGTACTGAATGTTTTACAGCAGGAAATGTCATTTTTGCTTTTCAGAGAGATTCTTGGGACAAAGGGCAGTGGTAGGTGTGTGTGTGTGTCCACACATGCATACATGTGTGCATATGTGTGGCAGCATATGTAAGTAGAGACAGGAGACAGTCATTAATAGTACTAACAAGGGATAAGAATCTTCACTAAGGCAGTGGTAGTAGGAAAGAGAGGAAGAATTCAAGAAACATTTAGGAATTGTTAAACTGATAGGACCTCAAGCCTAAATGTTACTTTTTACATATGTCAAAGAAAAAGAGAACTATATGTAGATTTTCAGGTGCCCAGCTTGAACAATTGGTGGATGGCCATATATTTACTGACAGAATGAAGACATAGAAAATGATGGTTTAGCTTTGCAGGTACACCTCAGTAGGGGATCTCAACAAAAAACCATCTCTCATAGAGTGAAGCTTAGGTGAAATATCTGAGCTAGAGGTGTAGATTTGGGAGTGATTCAAACTGTGAGAGTAGATGGCAACTCCAACCAGGGAGAACCTGCAGGGCAAGAAGTAAGGAGAACCTTGGACTGTTCCCTCATGAACTCTGAGGCTCCAAGATTGACAAGGGAGTGGAAGATGAAGAAGACAATCCTATTTGTCACGATAAACACAGCTCTATCTGTAGGAATGCTGAAACTTCACCTTTCTACTTTTTTAAAAAATTAACTTGAGTTTGACAGCAGTCTTAGGTTTACAGAAAAACTGAGCAGAAAGTTGAGTTCCCAAGTGCTTCTTCCTCCCTCTTCAGAGTTGTAGCTAATATTGATGTCTAGTTAATTAAACCAAGAGGTCATTAGACTGAGGTGGTTCTAATGTTATCTCTATCTTTCTACCTTTTGGTTAGAGATGATGCACTTTCAGTGAAACAAAACAGACATATCAGGAACCGAATATTTTAGATAAGGACTATAAACTATATAGGCATTATACTGAACTCTGATTTACAAAACCACTCCCTAAAGAGACTCTGTATTGGTAGATATTTGTCACTCTTTAAAGTCAAATGCTTGTACATATACATTAATTCCATCTTGTGTCTGACTATTCCTTATACTATGCATGACAGCAAAGCAAGGGTAAATCATTCTAATTTCTGAGCTGAAAATACAAGAAACAAAAACAATGTGCCATCTAGGAATATTAGTGCTTTCTAACAATGAAATATCTACAGATAGAGATACATTTTATTATTAAAAATACATTCAAACTGAACTCATTATACAAGGTCAACCAATAACAGTGTACTTTTAAAAAATAAAGTTTATATGCCAGCTTTTAAGAGATAGAACAGTGGGTATGCTAAATGTCTGGGAACATTTAAGTTTGAGAACATGCAGCATTTACATGCTCTATAATAAATTTAATTTTAAAATACCATAGAGATTATCAGGGTAGTACATTAACATTTATTGTAATATATTTAAATACATAATGAAATATTTTCTAAAACTGAGGATGAAGAATTCTCAATGTGAAGCAAGACGGCTCATGAATAAATTCTACTGCATCTAGAATTATACAGTGACTCAAACATCCCTCCTGTATATCATGACTTTACTTCAGATGTTTCATGATATTTATATTTTTTAAATATTTACACAATTCTATAGAAGCAATTAAAGTTTTCTTGTTCTGTGTGTGTGTGTGTGTGTGTGTTAGTCACTCAGTCATGTCCAAGTTTCTGTGACCCCATGGACTGCAGCCCAACAGGCTCCTCTGTTCATGGAATTCTCCAGGCAAGAATACTGGAGTGGGTTGTCATTTCCTTCTCCAATGTGAATTTTAGTAGAGTAGTTTAGTTGCTAAGTTGTGTCCAACTCTTGCAACCCCACAGACTGTAGCCCACTATGTTCCTTTGTCCATGGGATTCTCCAGGCAAGAATACTGGAGTGGGTTGCCATTTCCTTCTTCATTTCTTGTTCTAATACCATTCTATGATCCATAAATCATTTTTTCTACAACACACCCAGGATATAGGATTTTAATGATACAATTTCTTCAACCTAAGACAGTTTGATAGATTTTCCAGGAAAGCTGCAATGCTAAACTTTTCACTCTGCACATTTCCATACATAATTATGGTTATCAATCTTAATAAATGAATAATGTTATAGAACAGTTAAATTAATTCTGAGCTTCACAGGAGTGGCTGACTACTTCAAAATCTAATTCTATTTTCTGGATCTTGCTTCTACCACAAAAAGTTGAGTCTTTATCTCTCAGATATCACCTTTGATTTACTCACTCCAGTAAGAATGATTGAACTCTTATTTTTACCTGGTATTTAATATCTTCCATTTATCTCTAAAAAACTTCCAGGCAAGGTCTCGGCCATGTGGATTTCGAGCTACATGGATTATCACATCAATTGCATCTTGATCCAGAACCACCTCAGAATTCAGTGATAGATTTAGAAGCCTTTAAGGATAGAATTGTGGGGAAATTTTTAGTTTAATAACAGACTTTTCTTTACTTATCAGAATTATATGATTTAAGTTATCACAATCTTCAAAGAATAGTCCGTGTAAACTTTACTAATAAAAATTTATCAATAGAACAATTTTGTGTTGATAAAAGGAAGAAGAACAAGCTCATAATATTTTAATTGATGTATTAACCAATGCCTGAAAAATATCTTGTAAGTGGTTAAATTATTATTCTGATTTAATGATGAAAATTTGCTTTAAAAAGTCTTTTTAATAAATACTTCATTTTTATAATTACATACATATAATAGCATAAAACAGAAACAAACCTTTCAAATCAACATTTTTATAATTACATACATATAATAGCATAAAACAGTTAGAAACAAACCTTTCAAATCAACAAGCTTTCATCATATTAATATGGCAATTTTCTTTAGCTCTAGAAAGATCTATTTTAGAGTAACTAGCATACATTTAAGGAAATAAAAACAAGTTCAGTACAATTTGATTAACAGAGAATACTCTCATTATACAAATTTAAACATTTAATTGACTCACCTATTTAATAAATTCCTGTCATCACTGCAAGTTAAGGCTTCCAATAATATTTTCTTTTCAGAAATGGCCGTGGTAGAGTGGAATTTCATCCATATGAATTCCCAGACATCCTCATCCAGTAGTGAAACTCCTGTACAGTAGACGATGTCTCTAACATTTAGTGGTATTCTAAAGAAGCAACCCATGGTGGTTTCCTGTTAATTAAGTGCCTCATGACATTGAAAATAAAGACAAATGCTGCCTTACCACAGTCAGATTTTTAAAAGATGGTTTTGTTAATTAGATTTACCTGAAAGACAATACCATATACTAACAATATTCAAACTATTCACAACTGAATGAATAAAATAATGTATTTTATTTAACGATAGTCTTGAATGCAATTTTCCCACTTTTGAATTTATATGGACAAAAATCAGAACATAAAGGGTTTTTTTAAAACTTTTTATTTTATAGGAGTCAGAACATAAAGGTTTAAAGAAATACAAACAAGGCGTCTTATATTTCAACCAACATAAATAGATTTATGCTGTCAGAATTATTAGACCCAAGAATGATAAGAAAGTACTGGATGAAGATGAAACAAATACCTCCTAAATTCTGAGACATTATTTTTCTAAAATTATTATTCTCAAATACCTCTCCAAATTTGGGAAGCTAGATCACTAACACAGGTAATAAATAAAAAACATAAGTAGCAAAATTTGAGAATGTAAAAAGCTCTTTTTCCTATGTTTATAAAAGTGACTATAAACATAAACTAAATTTTGATTTTGACTTCAAAGTAAATGTTATGGAGGGAAACTCTTAGTCAATTTAATTAATCTTGGTTATTTATAAACTATAAATTCTCATGTGTACTTTGCCATGGCAATTATTCTTTTACTCAATATTATTCTTTCAAATTTTTATATATTTCCCACATTTTAAAAAACTCATATGTCTGAAAGAATACTCCAATACATTAAAAAGTTAAAAATGCATTTCTCTTTATATAATAGTAATTTATTATTAAAATTTCTCATTTATAATTTGAATGTGACTAATAATAAGAAATGTTTTCTCTGTATAACAAGATGAAAATCTCTTTTAAATATTTAGGACCTTGATGGTCAAAACACTGCTTTGGTTAAAGGAGCATTAGAAAACAGGAGGAAGCATCTGCATGACTACCAATAAGATGATCATCACTTTGCCGGAAAAGGACCATCTAGTCAAAACTATGGTTTTTCTAGTAGCCATGTACGGGTGTGAGAGTTGGACCATAAAGATGGGCCAAAGAATGAATGTTTTCAAACTATGATGCTGGAGACTTTTAAGAGTCCCTTGGACAGCAAGGAGATCAAACCAATCAATCTTAAAGGAAATCAACCCTGAGTATTGATTGGAAGGAGTGATGCTGAAGCTGAAGCACCAATCCTTTAGCCACCAGATTTACTGGGAAAGACCCAGATGATGGGAAAGACTGAGGGAAGGAGGAGATGGGGACGATAGAGGAGATCTTTGCATGGTATCACTGACTGGACATGAGTCTGAATAAACTCCGGAAGATGGTGAAGGACAGGGAAGCCTGATGTGCTGCAGTCCATGGGGTAGCAAAGAGTCAGACATGAGTTAGTGACTGAAAACAACAAAGGTGATCTTCATTTTTTTTTTTGTTAAGCAGCTAAGTAGGCTATAATCAAGATATTAAAGATTGTGTATCAGGATACCAAATGTGTAGAGTTGTTAGTACTATCATACAAAACTCAGTTTCCAGAAATGGCTAAAACTACATTACTCTGTCTCTTCCTACCAATAACTAAATTGTTTGGAGAAAAGTTACTTTAGTCTTACTGACCGAAGCTTTTCTTTCTTTGTAGTATTTGAAGGCAAGCATTTTATTTGTTTGATTTGTTTGCTTTTGAAGAAACAAAAGAAGTATAGATATCAGAAGAAGCCAGTAAAGAGTTTCACACCTCTCTCAGCCCTGGAGTCCCTTGAAGAAAGTCCTCAGAGTAGTGTTCCTAAAGGTGGTGAAACCTTATTCCCCCTGCTCTGTTCATGCCCAGCTTGGGCTTCCCTGGTGGCTGAGTGGGTAATGAATCCACCTTCATTGCAAGAGACCTGGGTTTGATCCCTGGGTCAGGAAGATCTCCTGGAGAAGGGAATAGTTACCCACTCCAGAATTCTTGCCTGGAGAATCCCATGGACAGAGCAACTTGGCAGGCTATAGTCCAAGGGGTCACAAAGAGTTGGTAACAACTGAGTGTATAAAACTTTTTCATTTGCACACAGCATATCTGAAAACACTAAGGAAAACATTACTATCACATTTTGAAGAGTGTGTCAGTCCTGGTAGATGCAAAAATGCGTCCATCTTTACTAACTGCCCTAAGAAAGTAAAAAAAAAATCTAGTCTTATGTTAAATCAACAACTAGAAAAGTGGATGAATCTTTTCCTCCAAATACTACAGGCTCTAGAGCATAATACTGTATTACTGTCATGATTTTGGCCAAGAGATTGCTATAAAAATTTGCCAGAATTAACAATAAAATGTCTACTTAAATCATCAACTCAAGGATTGATATATATTAGGTCTAATATTAGACTTAACAATTAAGAGCTTATTTTCTAAAATTCTTAAGCAATTAATATACCAACAAGTTCAAGGATAGAGACCACTGAATGAGGTTTGTTACTGCTTAGGAAACCAGTCTTCAATATCAAGCAGAAAGACATACAGAAATATAAAAAAGGCAAAAAAAAAAAGAAAGAGAAAAAAGTAGACATTAAACTATGTTCCTTAGAAATAATTTGTGTCATGTACTATAGTCCTTAGCAACAGTCCATAGTTTTGCAATTCAGTGGTTACTCCTGGCTGATGTTGAACAGTGTAAGATGCATACACACATGAATAAATAGACTGGTTGGTACAAAGTCCTAAACAGTGGCTTTAAGAGGTATCAGAAATAGAAAATAAGACTTTCATGCAATACTGCATTCCAAGTTACCTATCTTATTTTATCTGGTCTATACAATAATATCCTGATATTTGTATTACAATAAACTTCATTTTGCAGGAGAGGAAACTTTTCTGAGAATATTTTGCAGTGTAACAACAATTCTGAGAGAGAATATTTTGCAGTGTAACAATAAAGTAAGTTGAAAACCAAGATGACTTATACATGAAAATCTTTCCTATTTCTAGCAGCTTAGAGATGGCTAATCATGATGAAAATAAAATATACTGATTTCTGTTAGTAATAATAGTCAGTAATTGTCACTGAATGCTGATATTTCTTATTCAATAAAACACTATCTTATAGAAAGTAAGAATAAAAACTTTTAAACAGAAAAAAAATTTTTTGGTTTAAAGGGTTCAATCACCAAACCCTGGATCTAATGAGTAGGCTAGCAAAGTAATACCAGTGCAGCCAGTCTATAATTCCCTTAATGCTGAACTGGCTGAAGCTGTTACTTCTACCCTCTCTTTTTCATTATTTTCTTTAATCCACAGTTTGATCAGTCATCTTTGAGAAATATTCAACACCAGCAGAACGGTTTTCCAACAATAAGCTTCCATTCTGTTCACCAGAATCGAAGGGACACTTGTTAAAACTCAGCCTCTGGGTACTGAAAAGATATAGGCTGTGGGTGCATTTATAGAGGTGTTGTGTACCAGTACGGTCATACACAGAGCAAGGAGAAGGAATCTTGAAAGGGCACCAGGAAGGAACTGCTGGATGAAACAACACACAGATCATCCTGAAGGAATCTAACAAAAGTTGTCCTGGGCAAAGGAGGCCTTTGAAAGTAAAGATGTCCAGAATAGGGGCAAATTCTGTTGTGTTTTATTTTTTTTTCTTGACGTGTAATTTATTCCTTTTACTGATTTCACACATGGGGTTTCTGTGTTGGTTTTGTGTGTTTTTTTTTTTCCATTTATTTTTATTAGTTGGAGGCTAACTTTACAATATTGTAGTGGTTTTTGCCATACATTGACATGAATCAGCCATGGATTTACATGTGTTCCCCATCCTGAACCCCCCTCCCACCTATCCCATCCCTCCGGGTCATCCCAGTGCATCAGCCCTGAGCACTTGTCTCATGCATACAACCTGGGCTGGTGATCTGTTTCACACTTGGTAATATATATGTTTCAATGCTATTCTCTCAGATCATCCTGCCCTCGCCTTCTCCCATAGAGTCCAAAAGTCTGTTCTATACATCTGTGTCTCTTTTTCTGTCTTGCATATAGAGTCATCATTACCATCTTTCTAAATTCCATATGCATGTGTTAGTATACTGTATTGGTGTTTATCTTTCTGGCTTCCTTCACTCTGTATAATGGGCTCCAGTTTCATGCAAATTCTGTTCTTGAAGCGGCAGCCTCAAACCAAGAGACAGATCACATAATTTGGATGTGCTCTGCAAGAACCTGCAGGTCAAGTTTCAGGTTCACGAGCAGCTGTCTCCCTATGCATAGCAAATGCATCAAATTTGATGTTGATGAAAATGAAGCCCTCATATATTTATATATATAATCTAGAGCCTGTTGATGATCTATTGAAAAATAACCCTTTGTCTCAGTTATCAGGGGCTTCCCTGATGGCTCAGTGGGTAAAGAATCTGCCTGCAATGCAGGAGACAGGGCATGCAGGTTCAACTGCTGGGTTGGGAATGTCCCCTGAAAGAGGAAATGGCAACACCCTCCAATCAATATTCTTGCCTGGAAAATCCCACAGAGAGAGGAGCCTGGCAGGCTACAGTCAATGGGGTTGCAAAAGAGTCGGATACAACTGAACAGGAGCACAAGGATGTCAGCTACAAATCCTCACACTTAGGGAAAGAAATGGCCCTATCAGCAGATACTGGGAGGTACACTTCTTTAAGATTCATAAGCCTCCTTAGAAGAGCAAGGACAGAGTGAATTAGCCAGAAAATACTGCTCTGATTTTTCCAGCATTTCTTCCCAACCCATCAGCTTCTTATCTTCCTTACCCACCTACCAGTTAAAGAATCAATATCTGGTTCATAAAATTACTTGTACTCATCACTGAAAATAAAACAAGATGGGTGAGCACTAAACTTGCCAACGGCCCTTGGTTTCCAATGATTTCCATTGTTAAAGGAACCCCCTTTCATTGCTAAATTTGTAAAGATGTTCTAATAACATTTTAGCAAA